CCCCCCCCCCCCCCCCTCCCCACACACACACACACAAACAAACCCAACCCACTAGTCCCCAATAAGCTCCTTCCTAGAGTGACATGCAGGTGGGCCTCTGGGCTCCCTTTTTGATGACTCTGGGGTATAAGCCTGCACTTAGTCCAAAGCAATAGTCTTAGGGTCCCTCTCCTGCTGACACCAGCTGAATAGGGAGAAGGGAGGAGAAAACAGAAGAGTAACAGCCAAAAACCAACCAAACAAACAAAAAATACCTGAACATCTGTTGCTGGGCAGGTTTCTGCCCCACTGGACTCCCCACAACACCCTTCAACCCCTTCCAGCTGCAGTCGTCCTTGGAATGGGCTTTGCTTGCCAAGCTATGGGATCTCCCCTCCCTTCTTCCTTCGCAGGACCTTCCCTCAAGGGAGGCAAGCTGGAGACAGAAAAAAACAATTTTAAATTCAGAGACCAAAAATAAAGTCCAGCAGCTCAGTGGTCTACTGGCTGCTTACTCACTGGCTCAGGGCCTTCACAGCTAATTGACTTTAATCTTCATTATGATTGGGCCATGACCCTTCCTCACCCTCAAAGTCTGCGGTCCTCCACCTTCTTTTGCACTCACTTACAATGACCAACAATCCTCCAATTGTTGCTTGGTGCTGTGGGTGTTCTTCTCCACCTGCAGGAGAACTTCTGCTCCCGGACCTGGCAAAGCCCAGAAGTGCTTTGACTCCTGGTCTGCTGGTGTTCCCTCTCCACTGCCCCTCCCCAGGGTCTGACATTGCCAGCCATGGGCTCTCTCTTCCAATCTGGAGGGAGCACCGGCTTTGCAAACATCACAACCCTGTTCCAGTTGGAGTTCAGACCTCCGCAGCTCTCCGGGTGAGTCTTACTGTCCCAGTGGCCCCATCCTTCAGCCAGAGTTCCCCTTTTATTTCCCGACAAGAAGTCAAAAAAGCGTTCTGCATTGTTCACGAGAAAATTCATTCAGATTCAGCTGAACAGCAACCTATAGAAAATTGCCTCTTATTCCTACCCAGTAGAGTTTCTTAAATGCTTGGCTATTCCATTGCTAGCTCCTATTTTGCCACGTCAAATTTATACAACAGGAAGGTATTCATTTCCATGTAAGGGCCCTCCCACCTTTTATCCAAATAGCCTATCAGTTAGGGCATGTGCTCAGAGACAGAAGCTATCCACAGCAATCTACCCATTTCATCCAATGACTTAAATGCAAAAGGACAGAAGTACCACTGGGGCCAGGAACAGAACCCCACCCCTTCCAGGGCAGCATCCATCTCATTAGTCACACAGCAGGCTTACTCTCCTGCTTGATTTTGTCTTGCCCCTGGCCTGGTGGCTAGGAAACTTTGCTGAGAAGCAGATATAGGTTCAAACCTCTTCTGGGTGAAGGGGGCTTAGAGCCTAGACAAGTGATCTAACTACTATACTCTATGGTGGGACCCCCAACTGCAACTCACCCCTGTGATCCTGTTGTGAGCTTTCTGCAACTACCATTGCCAGGTCTCACACCGAATTTGTGGGTGCTTACACATGTTTAAAAACAAAACAAACAACCCCCCCCCCAAAAAAATCCTAACATCAAATGCTGCTTTCCTTTAAACTCAGTGTGCTCCTGTGCCGAGCTCAGTGGATGCCCAGAAGATGCAGCATGTTAGTTGGACCCAGCTCACCCGATGCCCGTATAGATCAGGTGCTTTAGTGGGGCTTTTCTGGTGCTTTTATCTAATAGCTGCAATTCCATTAAAATCAATGGGCAATGAAGTTAAGCACATGAATAAGTGCTTGCAGGATTGAGGCCTCAAGTTCCACACAACTTTTCATTCTACTAACAAGGACTTAGTACTATAGTATTGCTCTCTCTCCTTCATATTTTAGATATCCAATACTGGGCAGATCACACTAAATGTAAACTTTTGGTTCAGCACCAGCCTACCACTATACAATCCAAGTCCACTTCTAGTGTCTTTGAGATGCAACCCAAGCCCATCTCAAAGACACTACTGTAAATACAAATAAATAATGATGCAACATGTTGACCCATGGATTGTACCTCACTTACAAACTATGGAGCTTTGACAGGAAATTCTGTGAGAAAGATGGATTTAAATGGGGCCTTTCATAAAAGATTCACTTCCGCATACACTGGGATAGTGGTGATGTGTAGGGAGTGCATGCACCCCCTGAGTGCTGGTACACCCCCTGACAGGCCACACGCCCAGCTTAGGCAATGGGCAGAGGGGGCAGGCAGGAGCGACGGTGCCCACCCCTGCAAACAGCACCCCCTGAGTGCTGGTACACCCCCTGACAGGCCACACGCCCAGCTTAGGCAATGGGCAGAGGGGGCAGGCAGGAGCGACGGTGCCCACCCCTGCAAACACCAGCCGGGGAGTGGGAGTGCCAGATGAAGTGATGCAGCCACTCCTAGGAGTGCCACAGTCATTTCCCGGTTGGTGCTATCAGCTGCAGAGAGACCCCTCTCCAGTCACTGACTGGTCGCTGGAGGGGCATGCCCCCCGCCCGACTAAAGTGGCACCAGTCACCCATGCGCTGGGAAGTTTTATCTCGTACTGCTCTTTACATCACTGACAGAGACCCAAGAATCTTGCCTATTGCACTTTAGAAACTGGCTGTGCCAGTAAAGCATTTTATTGGTTTTACTTTGAGTCCTGTTGTCATTTCCTTGGTTTATGTTGTTATAAAGTTAGTGAAGGACATTAATTTGTGAAGGATAATTAACACTCAAGCAAAAATGCTGCAGCAACCTCTGCTGTTAGCCTTCTAGAAGTAGGAACAGAATCATAAATTGAACATTAGAAGAGGGAGTGGATTCCAGTCCTGATGAAGGAGAGAAGGCAAGAGAGACAGCATTGGGGGGGACTAAATTCTGAACTCCTAAGTGTCAAATTGTTCTCCCTTCCTCTTGGCATATTTACACAGGAAATTGCAAATCAAAGAGCACAAAAACAAACAAAAGCTTCTTATTTATGATTGCCCAAAGAAGCAAGGTGATAAAAAGGCCACACGTGATACATAACTAGGGCCAGGTAGGAGAATTAAAATGATTTCTCACTTACGAAAATTATAAATGATTTACAGTACAAAGGGTATCAGCTATTCCTGTGGGTCTGGTATTTGTTTACTGCTTAATTTACAGCAAAGCATTTGGAGATAGAAAGAGTGGTTCATAAAATGAATGTTTTTGTGAGGATTCAAGTTATGATTTTAATGCTGCAGTATATTCAGTCTACAGTCCCTGATCCACGTGGAGTACTGTATAACAGCTCACACACTTTAACAGCCTATGCTTTAACTCTACCAACTTAGTAACTGTGGCAGTATAATTCTCCTTGCCTTGACCACAGTTTTAGGAGGTATTAATGCAAGCTAGATTAAGAAACACCACACCTATAAACCCTAGACCAATGAAAGCCATAAAGGTCATTTAAGTGTTGTACATGCCTAAACACAGATGCAACGCTCCAAAATAAACAAGCTCAAATTTTATAAACCTATTTGATTTAATGAGGATTAAAACTTGTGGTGCATACAGACACCCCAGAAGGCTAAATTCAAAGGTTTTTGCTGCCACCGAGACCTTGTGTAGGCCTAAGGATCCACACGGTAGGATTTTACTGTTGTAACAGGATCATACATTGATTGTGATGCAGAAGACAAAGACATTCATATTAAAGACCACTTTTAAAAACAAAATCTCCCTGGATGACAAACCTTTCAACTAAGTACATTATACATTTCAAGCACACCTGGTTTAGGAATATATCATACCCTAAGAATTGTTAAAGCTCCCCACATGAAAGAGAGCTTTTTACATTACATGTTAATATCATCATACATTGTGGCCTTTGAGTAGAATTAAACATGCCAGGGAATAAAAAGTAAATGTACTGCAGCTGTTTAAAAACCAGTGAGAGTTTAAAACTAGGTCGGGTATTGTTTTCTTTGGGAGTTTGGAGCTCTGAGAGGTAGACTTTGTGGGGAAGAGCACCTTCCTGGGAACTGCCAGTATTGGGAAGTGTCTGCCCTTTTCCTACACGCCTTTCTCTTTTAAATCTTCTTTCAGGAAGCTGTGGTGCTGGGCCTCAATGGCCATGCTGGACTGAATGCACCTGGTTTTGGATGTGCAACAGTCTTAGACTTCTCTAGTACCTGGATGGGAGACCACCTTGCAATCCCAGGTGCAGGAGAAACAAGCCAAAGAAACAGAATGCTAGAACATAGAGACAGATACTAGAACATGGAAAAACCTCGTTTTACCCCAGAGTTATCACTGAACTCACAGATGGGAATAAAATGAAGAAGACTAGAATCCTCCTATGTGTATAGATCTGCTGAAGTTGAGAAAAAAACAAAATATAAAATGAGATGACACTCAGACCTCATAAAGAGCATGTTATATGAGGATTTTAAAGTGCTTTACAAAGGAAGGTATCAGCATTACCATTTTATACAGGGAAAAACTAAGGCACAGAGAATGAAAGTATTTGTCCAAGGGCACACTGCAAGTTTGTGAGAGGGCTGGAACAGAACCAAGGTCCTTTGACCTCCCTTTCTAATGCCCTGTATAGTGATGGGAGCAGCAAGGAAAATGAAATAACCCTATTGGCCATGTAAAGAATAAGATGACAGATCTAGTGGTTTGCATGCTGCTTGTTGTAGCAGGGCACCTTCTCCAGCGGTTGCTGTAAACCCCTGGAGAACAAAAAAGTGTATTTACCCTGCTCGCTCTCTGGGGACAGTCACCCCTTTGATCACCTACTACACCTTGATGTATTTTATGGTTATAAAAGGGAGGCTGCCTCAGGGCTTCCCAGTCCTGATCTCCTTCTAATGACCACAAGGTGTCTGTGGTCCTTGCCTTAAGAGCTAATTGCGTGGCTCCGTTCCACTCCTACACCACACCCCAAGCCTCGCAGTTGTTATTGTTCTCTGATGTTCTCTCTCTCCACTCTCTTACCCCTTTTGTGGGTCCTCAGACTCTTTGGTCGCATTCTCAGCCTCCCTCTAGACCCCTGGATCCTTTGGTCCCACTCTTGGCCTCTCTCTGGGCCTCTAGACCCTGCTGGTCCTGTTCTTTCCTAGCTTTGCAGGTGGCCCTGGTCACTTTGCTCCCAGGATTTCTTCAGGTACCAGGCCTGTCATTCTTTCTCCGCCCTTCTCTAGGCTGTGGCTCCCTAACCTGATTGGTCCCCAGCAGTTGTTCTCTTGAGACCTTTGGCCCCTCCTAGGCCCTGGCCCTGCTCTGGGCCAGTTGAGATCTCTGGGCTCTCTAGCCCTGGTGGTCTCCAGCACTGGTCCTCCCTTGGCTGCTCCGGGCGAGTTGAGACCTCCAGGTCCCTTGACCCTGCATGCCCCTCCTGGGCTACAAGTTGCTGACTCTGCCTCATGACA